TCTTACTTTAATTTATCCTCAGATTTCTTTATTTGTGCCAAGTGACTTAGATCAAAATGTAACACTTTTTTGCTCCAATTATCTGGATAGTTTCTTCAGCTGTCTCCTTACTATGTATGTGGACACACTAATTTTAGATCCAACAACTAAAGAAAAGTGTGTTCTTTCTGCGTCAGACCCCTACACATTTTCAACCTGTGCTAGCAACAAATGCAGTCAACTTCCCGGAGACACACAATTACTAGGTGATTTCTCATTCGTGGAATTTTACCCTACAGCAGTTCATCAATGATACGGGCCTTTTCATTCCCATCTGTGCTTTTTAAGCTATTGTTTTGTATTTGAATTGTATAGTCTCTGTGTTGTGCTTTATACAAACACATCCCAGATCCTAGTTCATTGCTCTGGAATATATTTTACTGTATATACCAGGCTGGCTAAGAGCCATCTTGTCTGTGTCTATATAAGGACAAACCACATTATCATAGCTTACTTGCACAGTTATGAAAAAATACCTAGGGCCTATTCTTTGCCCACGTCAGCCAATGAAACCAGTGTAATTTTGCCTTTAGAAATTCCATCTTACGGTCTACCCTATTCAAAGCAAATAAACAATTCTCCGTTGGTGGTCTGCACTACAGTGCTAGGAAAGACCCCTCTCCTGCACGCCATCTGATCCCAGCCCTGGTTGGGCGGCAAGCAACAGTGGTCCTAGCTGCAAAGCACCAAGCAAGACACCAGACTGAGATTTCCTCCCTGGTCACTCATCATTGACCCAACCTGAGTGAGAACGCTCCGTGAATGGTGCTGAAAATTTGGACCTAGGTCAGGGAGAGTCAAGTTGGTCACTCTGGTGCTGGAACTCCAGGATGAAACCATGGCGGGTGTTGAGAGAGGAGAAGGGTGCAGAGAGGAGCCCAGGGGAGAGACTGGGTGCAGGAGGGTGACGCCACTCGCGCTCCTTGTGTTCCTGAGGCCCACCTGCATTCCTGACGCCGGTGCCTTGAGACACCCCCATGCCATCATAATGAATTCCCCCTTTGGCGTAAGCTAGTTAAAGGTTACTTGAACCAAAATATTTCTGATTAGCACAGGAGGTGTTGATAGCCACCATAAAATGCAACTACTAATAATGTTAATAATAGGTAACATTGAAAGGGTGAAGTTTTCCAGAAGAGGAAACGAAGACTGGGGAGATTAAGCCCTTGCACAGGTCACACACCAGGCAGCCTGGCCGAGACCAGACCAGCAGCCTCTCCCTTGCTTTCCAGGGTAAGAGATGGGGCATGTCACCCCCCTGGGACTTGCCTGGAGCTGATTATTGACCCTCAATTTTTAACCTGTGAAATGGAGATGGCCATGACCATAAAACAGAGTGTTGCAAGGGTCAGCGGGATGCTGTGAATAACAGGCTTTGGTCCAATAGGCATTTGATAAAAGTTATTTCTAATCTGTTTCCAATTTTTCATTTGTAATTAACTTCAGTGACCAGAACTGATAGAATATTGTGAAGAGTGGTGATAACCAGCATCCTTCTGTATTTTTACTGTTAAATATATTTATCGCTGAGGCCTGGTGCGGTGGCTCATGCCTGTAATCCCAGCACTTCGGGGGGCTGAGATGGGAGAATCACTTGAGACCAGGAGTTCGAGACCAGCCTGGGCAACATAGCAAGATGTTGTCTCTGCGAAAAAATTTAAAAATTTTCTAGATGTGGTGGCTGTAGTCCCAGCTAATCAGGAGGCTGAGGCAGGAGGATTCCTTGAGCCCAGGAGTTCAAGGTTGCAGTGAGCTATGATCGTGCTCTCCAGCCTGGGTGACAGAGCAAGACCTTGTCACAAAAAAAAAATTAATCATATTGCTGAGATAGATGTTCTTTATTACATTAAGGGAGCATTCTTCTGTTCCTGGTTTACTACAACAAATTTTTTCTCCAGAAATTGGTGGTAGATAGTTTCAAGTAACTTTTCAGCTTCTAACCAAAAAACCCAAAAGGTTATGTGATTTTTGGTTTTGTCTTTTGACCACATAATTAATTTTAATAAAAGAATTCACAATACCAAACTATCCTTAGTTTCCTCAAATTAAACCTCCTTAATCATTTTGCATTGTTCTGGGAATAAACTGCTAAGTGCAATTCTGTGTTTTATTCAGGACTTTTCTATGTACGAGTGAAACATCTTTGGTTTTCTTTCTTGTGTTATCTTTTCCATGTTCCACTTTGTGGTTATGGTAGCTGATAAGGATAAATTAAGAAGTTTTCCACCCTATTTCTGATTTCTGGAACTGCTTAAATAGCAGATGGATTTTCTGTCCCTCAAGAGTTTGAAAGAACATGTCTGTCAAATACATGTATCTCTCTCTCCAGTCCCAGCATCAATTTTGGAGATAGTTCTTTATCCTCGAGGTTTTCTCGTTTACGCTATGATTATTGGTCAATTTAAGTTTTCTACTTCTTCCTGAATACATCTGAATAATTTTTATTTTTCTGGAAAACTTTCAATTCATTGAGATATTCAGTTTTTAACATTAAACTGAAAATAGTATTCTATTTAATGTTTCCCTCTATTGCATATCTGCATGTACGCACTCCCTGCCGGGATTACCACTTCTCTTTACGGGACCCTCAGGGGCTCCCTAAGTGAGGTGGGCACTTGGCCAGGCAGCTCTGTGTTAGCATTGGCTCCGTTCCTGGTTCAGATCACCCCAGTCGTCCCCGCCTGGATGGCCACAGCTCCACCGTCATGTTAGAAGCATCAGCCACAGTGCCTTGGAGTCTGGTTAGAGTGGGTCAGCCAGTGTTGGGGTAGAAGAGAACCATGTTTTCATACACAGGCCTGTGGCTGCCGTCGTGGGGACCGGTCAGTTATCGGGGTGTTCAGGAAGGAGCACTGTGGGATGAAGCACTGGTGGGGCACCCAGGCCTCAAGGACCCAAAGATGTGTGACTGTCCCACGAGCCTCTCCATCGGCAATGCCCCACCGCACATCCGCTGAGGTTCTGTTTGTCTCTAGTCTCTTCGCAGTCAATAACAGTAGCATGTTATTTCAGGCAAAAAGAGCCAACTCCTTCAAACGTGGCAATTTGAAGTGTTGTTATTTATAATTACGCTTATTCTGGCTGGGCACAGTGGCTCACGCCTGTAATCCTAGCACTTCAGGAGACTGAGGCAGGGGGATCACTTGAGGTCAGGAGTTCGAGACCAGCCTGAGCAAGAGCGAGACCCCATCTCTACAAAAAATAGAAAAATTAACTGGGCATGGTAGTGAGCACCTGTAGTCCCAGCTACTTAGGAGGCTGAGGCAGGAGGATGGCTTGAGCCCAGGAGTTTGAGGTTACTGTGAGCCACCTGCACTCTAACCCGGACGACAGAGCAAGACTCTATCTCAAAAAAAATTTTTGTAATAAAAAATAAATATCATTACACTCATTCTGTAGAATCAGATAATCTATTCATTTTAACATTCTTATAGCAGTTACAGAATAGGAAATCCTTTCAGTCTAAAAAGAGCCTCATAAAAGGCATTAGAGACAGGTTAGTTGGAAATTGCAACAGGAGGATCTTAGAAAAGTCACAACTAAGTATGTGATTAGATGAAAACCTAGTTAGATGGGAGACTCCAGTTAGGAACATAGGTGCCAGAGATGGGCAACGCCCACGTGCTGGGGAAACCACAGGGTGCCGGAGCAGCAGGCAAGAGGCTGTTTTAGGAGCAGGACAACGATGGGATCCAGTTCCAGGCAGCCTGGCATTTAGCTAAGCAAGTCGCCAGCAAGAATTTCAGGGAGCTAATTGCCTTGACAAGGACTTAAATCAGCAAAGGCCCTTACATCTGGAGGTGGCCGGGTCTACATGACCAGTTCTTCCTAGCAGTGACCTTGCTCTGTGTGTGTGTGTGTGTGTGGCTGGCAATGTTAAATAGTAAATAGTAAGCTTCTCTTCTTACCACATTGTGAGTCCGTGTGACTCTTCCCCACCGTCTGCAAACACAACTGCCTCCCCTGCACCATCCATGGGCAAATTCCTCAAGCAGCTTAAGACGAATACTATAAGGAAACACATTCAATATAAATGCAAACTGAAATGTTTTGTAATGTAAATTCCAGCTTACCCTTAAATTTCTCTGCCTTGCCTGTGTTGCAGGTTCAGGTTTAGTGGTCGTATCCTAGGCCTGGCTCTGATCCACCAGTACCTCCTCGACGCTTTCTTCACGAGGCCCTTTTACAAAGCGCTGCTGAGACTGTAAGTGCTTTGCAGACTGTGGTCCCACCCCAGCCCTGTCTGCAGGACAAGGGAACTGGCCTCTCTGGTGCCTCTGACCCTTTTGTCCCTTTTTTGCCTTAACCATTCCTGTTAGGTTTATGGTGGTTCTGAGTGCTTAGATATCACATACACCTTTTAGTATATTTGGGGATTTTATGTTGATGTAGGGGAAGACTCTGTTATCAAAATGTCATATAATGGATATGAATCAGTTTGTGTAAAAATTATAATAATATTACAGGCCAGACACAGTACTCCATGCCTGTAATCCCAACTACTTGGGAGGCTGAAGCGAGAGGATCACTTGAGCCCAGGAGTTTGAGACCAGCCTGGGCAACATATTAATAGCAAGACTCTGTCTCAAAAAAAAATTATAATATTCCAAACATTTCATTACACTATTAAGTAGAATTGGTCTGTTTATCACTTAGTTGTTTTAAAGTGATACTTTAATTGCCAAGGAAAGAGTCCATGAGTCAATAATTATTTTGTTTATTATTGTAAACATTTTAACATTTTTTTCCAAAGGAAAATTATTGAATGAACTAAAATTAATGAATAAACTGATTCATCAGTATATTCAAAAGTGTCTAATTGTTAGAATGAGCCTTCGGTGTTTTAGCGAGGAGCGGCGTAACTACGTTTGGAATAACGTCCGGGCAGCCATTTGTTCGGTAATTCTGTTTGCCTTTCTCCCTTTGAATTTGCCCAGGCCCTGTGACTTGAGTGACCTGGAATATTTGGACGAGGAATTCCACCAGAGCTTGCAGTGGATGAAGGACAACAATATCACGGATATCCTGGACCTCACTTTCACCGTTAACGAAGAGGTTTTTGGACAGGTTTGTGTGATGTGGGTCTTGGGAAAGGGATTTTATTTTTTATTGTGGAAAACATAGATAACATAAAACTTATCACTGTAATTATTTTTAAGTGTACACTTCAGTATGTTAAGTATATTCACATTGTTGGGCATCCAATCTCCAGAACTTTTTCATCTTGCAAAACTGAAACTCTATCCACTAAACAATACTCTCCATTTCTCCCGCCCCCCAGCTTCTAGCAACCACCATTCTACTTTCTGTTACTATGAATTTGACTGCTCTAGACACTTCATATAAGTGTAATCATACAATATTTGTCTTTTTATGTCTGGCTTATTTCACTTAGTATAATGTCCTCAAGGTTCATCCATGTTGTAGCCTGTGTCAGAATTTCCTTCCCTTTTAAGGCTGAATAATATCCCGTTATATGCATATGCCAATTTTGTTTATTCATCCATCCATTCATCTGTTGATGACACTTGGATTTCTTCCACCTTTTGGCTATTGTGAAAACTGCTGCTATGAACACAAATGTACAAATATCTGTTCAAGTCCCTGCTTTCAGTTCTTTCGGATATATAGCCAAAAGTGGGATTGCTAGAGCATATGATAATGGGATTTTGTTTTTGAACTAGAGAATAAAGAATCTCATTCATTCAAAATATAATTCTTTGGGAACTACTTCCTTTAATAAATCAGCCCACGTCTTCTTCCTTCTTTTTCTTGTTATGACACGGATCTATTTTACAAAATTTATTGAAAATCAAATGTGATATGGGATCAGACAGCATTTTTGTAAAGTATGGCATACATATGTAAGGTATTTCTGTTATCTGTGCAACTACAAAAATAATTCTTTTCATCACGTCTAGATATCTACTCCTCCAAAATTCTCATATCTCAATACTAGTTAGTAAGATAAAGCTTTTCTACTAGCATTTATATAACATTGAGTCTTCTGAACAAATGGATTACAGATTTAACAGAAAATAACCACAGCCTGAGCAGATTTAAGCATCAAGGTTTTGAGAACATCGTTTACTAGAGAGCCGAAAGCCCAGGACACATGGTAATTTGTAACAGGGTTGTCGTGAGACTTGTTGGAACACTTCATAAGCACTTTGCATGAAGACAGACAGTGTGCTGAGTCCGTGGGGTGAGAGTCACCCGCTGAATGCTACAGACCATACAGCATCCACATCTCAGTCAAGAATCTTGGATAGTTCCTGGAAAATGTCTCTATTCTGTTGTATTTCCTTTGTATAAACATGCCTCTGAAGAATGCTGTCTTACATATTTGAGAAAAAATATCTCTTCCTACAACCACAGAGAGCACATTTAAACATGTTCAAGAATATGCTACCCATTTAACTGTCCTGCCATGTTCTAAATGAACAGGTAAAATACATTATTCCCCATGCACGACTACTTTTAGCCCATGTTTCATATTTGCCTATTGTAGAGAGTAAATTTGTAAAATATACACAATTATTTAACAAATTGTGTGAAAACAACTGCATAGGCATCTTAAAAAATTTTAAGTTAGATCCCTAACCTAACTCATTACACTGAAATAAATTCCAGCTGGATCAGAAAACTGAATATAAAAAGAAAAAAGAAAGAAACAATTTTTATTTTTAATCTCGCAGTAAGGAATGCTGCTGTAGATATGGCACAAACTCTCAAAGTCACAAAAGAAAAGATTGACATAGATAAAATTATTTTTTAAATGCTGCAGAGCAAAATACACCAAAAATAAAGTGAAAGTGACATAATATTTAATACATAACACAAAGGCTATTTTCTTTAATATCAGAAGAGACCCAGAGATCAATAAGAAATGATCAAACAACCCAATAGAAAATTGTCAAGGAATATAAATAGATAGTTCCAGAAAAAGAACTATGAGGAGATACTCAACCTCATTCACAATTTTTAAAAATGTAAATTAAAGCTACAGTGAAATACCATTTTCTCTCATTAGAGTGTCAAGAATCAGAAAATGTAGTAGTATCATAATTTGGAAATGGTGAGAAACAGGCCCTCCTGTGCATTGTAGGTAGAAGTTCAGTTCACTCTCCATGAACGGCATTTTGGTGATATCTATCCATATTTCAAATCACATACCTTGGACTCAGTATCCATGTCTAGGAATTTGTCCTACAGATATATTTACACCTAATCAAAATGAAATGTGTTAGGATCTTCATTGCAGTGTTGTTGATAACTGCAAAATATCTGAAGCAATCTAAGGTCCAGTAGTAGAGCACTGATTAAATAAATGATATATTTACACAATGGAATAGTGAAATCACATGTAGCTATTAAAAAGTATGAAACATCCCAGCCCATCAATTTACATATAAATCATAAACAATAAAAAGGATACACTAACAACAACAAAGAATAATCAGCCTGGGCAACATAGCGAGACCCCCCCCACACCCCATATCTACCAAAAAAAATAAAAAATGAATGAGCCAGGTGTGGTGGTGTGTGCCTACCATCCCAGCTACTTGGGAGGCTGAGGAGGGAGGATCACTTGAGCCCAGGCATTCGAGGCTATAGTGAGCTATGATCAGGCCACTGCATTCCAGCCTGGGCAACAGAACAAGGCCCTGTCTTAAAAAAGAAGAAGAAGAAAAAAAAAAAAGGCAGGTCTAAATTGGTATGAAGCAGTTTCTAAGATTTATTTTTAAGAGAAAAAAAGGATAGTGAAGAACAGTGTATACAGCATACTACTGTTTGGGGGAGGGGGAAAGAGATGATATATACATATTCCCTAGGATAGGCATAGACTCTCCCTGGAACAGGAGTAGAGGTGACTTTCTGCAGATAGGGAGAATGCATGGCTGGGAGATGAGGTGGGAGAGAAACTTATTTTCATTTCATGGCCTTTTATGCCACTTGAATTTTATTCCACAGACACATATTATCTATTCAAGAAAATAAAGTCAACAACAAATAACTGAATGTATAACATTAGAGAAAAAAATAATATTGAGGATACAAAAGAACAATCCTTATGTGTGTAAAGTGTAGGAACTAGGAACTGAACAACTCAGAAGTTTAAATGCGCCCAGTGATAAAAATAAGTATGTGCTGTCGATCTAGAATAATGTGCAGTTTGAGCCTTAAACAACGTAGGGGTTAAAGGCAGTCAAAAATCTGTGAATAACTTTTGATTTTCCAAAAACTTAACTACTAATATCCTACTATTGGCCAGAAGCCTTACTGATAACATCAGCAGTCGATTAACACATATTTTGTATGTTGTATGTATTATGTGCTGCATGTTTACCGTAAAGTAAGCTGGAGAGAAGAAAATGTTATTAAGAAAATCATAAGGAAGAGAAAATATGTTTATAATTCATTACGTGGAAGTGAATCATCATAAAGGCTTCACCCTCATCTTCATACTGAGTAGGCTGAGGAGGAAGAGGAGGGTTGGTCTTGCTGTCTCAGGGGTGGCAGAGGAGGAAGAGGTGGATGGGTGAAGGGGAGGCAGGAGAGGCGGGCACACTCGGTGTAACTTTAGGGAAATACTTCATAATTTCCGTCTGACTTCTCTGCTCCTTCATTTCTCTAAAATATGTTTCTACATGCTGCCAGTCCTTCTTCCACCATTTGCTTTCGTTTCACTGCCCATATCATAGAAGGGTCCACATTACAAAAGAAGTCAAAAGCGGTCTTGAACAATCGGACCCTTCTGCCCGACTGTCTAATGTCGATTGGTTTTCTGGCACTGCGGCTTCCACATCTCCTTCCTCGTCTGGCGCTGGTTCGGAAGCACTCATTCCCATCAAGTCGTCTTCAGCTGATTCCTCTTGTGTGGTGTCTGTCGGCTCTTGAATTTCCCCAAGATCTGTATCTTGAAACCCTTCACCCCCCACCTTTTTTGCCGTATCCACCATCTTCTTCATGATTTCCCTGACTGGCTCTGTCATAAACCCTGGGAAGTCATCATGCACAACAGCTGGACATTTTCTCCAGCAGGAATTTATTCTTTCAGGCTAGGTGGCTTTTGCGCTTTTTCTATAACAACAATGGCATCTTCAACCATGTAATCCTCCCAGACCTCCATGACGTTCTCTCTGTTGGGGTTCTCCGTAGAGTCGACAGTCCTTTCCATAGAGTGCCGAGTGTAACAACCCTTACAGGTCCTTAAGACCCCCTGATCTAGAGGCTGAATTAGAGACTTTGTGTTTGGCGGGAAGTAGATCACTTTGACACCTTCAGTGTTGAACTCATGGGTTTCTGGGTGGCCAGGGGTATATTCCATTGTCGAAAGAACTTCAAAAGGCAATCCCTTACTGGCAAGGTGCTTCCTGACTTCAGGGACAAAGCATCAATGGAACCAATGCAGAAAAGGGGTTCTCGTTGTCCAGGCTTTCCTGTTGTTCAACCAAAAGACTGGCAGCTGGTGTTTATTTTTTCCTTTCAAGGCTTTATAGATAAGGGCAGTCCTGATCACGAACCTGAATGCATTTGCGCAAAGCAGTAGAGTTAGCCTATCCTTTCCTGCCTTAAATTCTGGTGCTTGCTTCTCTTCCTTACTAATCAATGTCCTTTGTGGCATTTTGTTTTCCAGAATAGGGCATTTCCTTCTGCATTAAAAACTTGTCCAGGCAGATAGTTTGTCTCCTCAGTGATAGTATCTGGGAACTTGTCGGCAGAAGCTGCTTTTCCTGTTATCTTGACATTTTTTAAAGCCGAACCTCTTCTAAAATTATCAAACCATCCTTTTCTGGCTTTAAATTCTCCAACTTTAGATCCTTCACCTTCCTTTTGCTTTAAATTTCATATAATGACTTCGCTTTTTCAAGAATCGAGTCTATAGGTATGCCTTTCTTATAACAATCCTTCACCCACATAAAAGCTGCATTTTCTACGTGAGATAAAAAGATATTTCACCAAAAAATACCAGGTTTCTGCACCTGCTGGCATAGCTGCAGTGATGGCCTCACAAATTTCCTTTCTTTTTTTTACAATGGTCCTTATGCTGGATTCATTTATCTTGAAATGGTGGGCAGCCGCAGCTGCAGACCTCGATCTTAGGTACAAATCAAGCAATTCAATTTTTTCTTGTAATGTCATGACTTTGCTTCTTGGGAGTACTTCCAGCCTCACTAGTGGCACTTCATGTGGGTCCCACGGTTTTATTAAAGGTTTATGGTATTGCATTAAACACGATGAAAAATATATGGGAACCAAGAGAGATCACTTTGTACCGCGACACGCCATTTACTGGAGAGACGACCTGCTCACATGGACATGAGGAGGGAGCGTCACACAGCATTTTAAGCAGATACTCGCAACACTTGAGCTCTCTGCAATAGCAACAGGAGGTGGCTACAAAATTATTCCAATAGTACAGTATGTACTACAGTTAATTTTATGGAATTATGGCTTAATACTGCACCTTTATGTTTGTTCGCATTTCTCTCAACTGGGAATGGCGCCATGTATGGTCTCTAGGTGTTTATGTGCGTAAGTTTTGATAAATTTTAACTTTTTATAATAGATTTGTGTGTATTTTATGGTAATGAATGATGAAGTGGACTAGTATCTACATATATTTTATGCATTATGACATACCTTTTCTTAATTTATTTAATATTTCTAGGCTATGCAATTTATCTGAGTTTTTTTCAAATCACTGCAAATCTCCAAAAAAATTTTCTAATGTATTTGTTGGAAAAAATCTGCATATAAGTGGACCCACACAGTTCAAATCTGTGTTGTTCAAGGGTCAATGTGTATCTGTTTAAAGTTTATCCTGTTTCTCTTCAAAAGGAGGTCACCAAGAACAACGACTTTGGTTTTAGAAGATTGAACTGCAGCCCTCTTTTGTCAAGTTATTAGCAGTGGAGAGCAGATAGATGCTTTTTCTATGCTGTGAGCTTTTTCCTTAGATATATTAGTTAGAATTAGGTTCAGCTTCTAGTGAAGAAGCCCAAAATGACCCTGCTGAAGTTAATAGAAGTTTATTTTTTTTCTCACATAAAAATCTGGAGGCGGGCAATCCAAGGCTGGTTTGGGAGCTCTATTTGATGGAATCCTCTGGGACCAAGCTCCTTCCAGCTCCTTCTGGTGCCCCAACCATCATGACTGCTCAAAGCATCAGGACAAAGGAACACACAGCCCTTCTCTTCAAGGAGGCCTCCTGAAAGTGTCATACAACACTTCTGCTTACATCCCATTGACCGGAATTTAGTTATATGCCTCACCTAGCTGTAGGGAGGTTGGGAAATAAAGTCTTTAACTGGGCAGCTAAAGATCAGAGGTTCCAAGAAATATGGGTATTGGATTGCAACTAGTATTTTGTAATTGGCCAATATTTTATAATTAACACTGATCACCCAGTGATGGAAGAAAAAGTAACCATCAGACGACTCATGAACTGTTTTGTTTAGGTCCCTGTGTCTACAAGTGCCAAATATGTATCTATATATATTTTTAAACCAGTAACTAAGTACAGTGATGCCTCATTTGTCTTACAGCATTAAGCTGAACCCTTAAGTGAATTTCAGATAACTGAGATTGCCCCCTTCAAACACTAACACATTTTGATAAAAATGCCTGATGTGTTATCTACCTTTTTGCCTTTGAAAAGATAGTACACAGATCATAACTTTTCCTGATGACTCAAGCTTGCCCTAACAAATGTGCCTGGCCATACTAAGTGGCAGTGTCCTTCTCTGTGTGCTTCAGCATGTTTCTGCTGCCCAGGGTGTCACCCTTCAGCCACTCTTACACCTGGGGGTGAAAACCATCTTCCTACCCTCTGCCATTTTGCCTCTCCTGGTCAGCTGTGGGAAGGAAGCTGGCAGCCACTAAGAATTTGCTCTAATTGAGGTTTGGGGACATCAAATACATGACTGTACTGTTGCAACATTCAGCCTCACCATCAGGGACGACCTGGGACATTTTCATTTTATTTCTAGTATGTCTCTTGAGTTAAGGATAATTGTTTCCTCCTCATAAAACAAAAAATGTAGCCCTTTCAAGGTGCTTATGAATCTGCTTAGAACACCCAGAGCCTTTTTAGTGACCTTTAGGAAAGGAAAAAGAACCGAGGAGGTAATACTACTGAATAGCACTGTGTAAAGAGGGCTTTTGCAAACAATCACTCCCCTAAAATCAGTACGTCTCTCTGGGGGATGAGCTGAACTGACAGCATCACGATCTTTGTTTCCTACAAGGTCACGGAAAGGGAGTTGAAGTCCGGAGGAGCCAACACGCAGGTGACAGAGAAGAACAAGAAGGAGTACATAGAGAGGATGGTGAAGTGGCGAGTGGAGCGCGGCGTGGTGCAGCAGACAGAGGCCCTGGTGCGCGGCTTCTACGAGGTGAGGCCCCGGCGGCTTGAGGAAGGCCTGGGGGCTTCATCACAGGGCTTCTGCTCCTGGAGGCTCCCCGGGGGACCAGCATCTCAGGTAGTGAGAGCAGAGTGGAAGAACCAAGGCAGGCAAAGGGCTCAGCAAGTACTACTCAGCAGGGTGCAGCGAGGACCCAATGGGGTGGATGGCCAAGGGGTCAGAGTTGCCTGGGAAACCCAACTCTTGTTGTAGGTGAAAAATGCTCTCAAAAAACTGGTGTTGGCGGGCCCCTGGTGTGTCCAATGTGAAAACACCCAGCATCTCTTGTCAACACATGTGCAGGTGGTGTTTCCTTTCACTCCGTGAAACAAAAATAAGGGAAGTAAAGGCAGTGGGGGTGTCTTGTCCACTCTTTACAGCATCACTATTTTGTTATAGCATCACTTTGTGCCACGTGATCCATGCTGAGTAGTATGTCGAGAAGACAGGCAGCTGCTAGACTTCCTGTGCGTAAAAATGATGTCCTTAAACTTTTCCAGTTTAGAAACAAGAGACTATAAATCTTTTTTCGGGTCTTGGGTCTTGGAAGGTTTCCTTTCCCCGCCAGAATGGAGAACAGTGTTGGCCACAGTCTTGTCCACCCCTGATTTGATGAAAGGAGGTACCGTCTCAGGTGCTCAGTTGTGCCTGGTCATTCGGCATGAGATGTAAAGCCAGAATACAGGGCCCTGGCAAAATGGGGCCTCCCAGATCTCTGAAGGAGGAAGGAAGGAAGTGAGGGGAGAAGGCAGGGAAAATACAAATTCATGCCTGGCTAGCTCAGTCTTCAGAGCATGAGACTCTTAATCTTAGGACTGTGGTTTGAGAAGGGAAGGAAAATACAATTGTTTTTATCTACCCAAAAGATATGAGTGGAAAAAAAAAAAGAAAATACAATTGTTTTAATATAGAATGCTCAACTTTAGGAAATGAGTCATAACTGTGAAAGAGAGAATACAGTTTAAGCGAAATGATATTACTAATAGCTATTAAGTCACTTCAGAGCGATCTGGACTTTTTGCCTTTAAAATGCAATGTTACTTGGAAACTTAAATTCGAGTTCAGAAAGTCAAGTCAGGTTTGTTTACAAAATCATTCCAGGAGGGAACATCAGAGGTAGCAAAAAGCATAGGATCTTTTTTCTGTTCCCAGCTCATGAAAGATTGTGTTTTAAAATGTTTAAGTTGATGGTTATCTTAGTCTGTTTGGGCTGCAAACAAAATACCATAAACTGGGTAGCTTAAAAGCAGCAGAAATTTCAAGTCCGAGATCAAAGCACCAGTAGATTTGACATCTGGTGAGGGCCACCTTCTGGTTGGCGCCTTCTCACTGTATCCTCACACAGTGGAAGGGATGAGGTCTCTCTTGGGCCTCTTTAATAAAAGGACTGGTCCCATAAGGATGAGGCCCTCAAGACATAATCACCTCCCAAAGGCCCGACCTCCCAAAGCCATCACCTAAGAAGTGAAGATTTCAACATATAAATTTGGGGGATGGAGGGGACATAAACATTCAGACCATAGCAATAATTTTGAACTTAAAAATGATTCCATGTTGAAAAAAGGAACTTTTTTGGACCTCTATCTCTATTTCAGGTGGTAGACTCAAGGCTGGTGTCCGTGTTCGATGCCAGGGAGCTGGAGCTGGTCATAGCTGGCACTGCAGAAATCGACCTGAACGACTGGCGGAACAACACCGAGTACCGGGGAGGTGAGCTGGCGGGCGTTGTGATGACACAGCTGTCGCAAATACAACCCATCGCTTTTTAAAAAATTTTGTTGTTGAGGTGAAATTGATGTAACATAAAATTGACCGTTTTAAAGAGAACTATTCAGTAGCATTTAGTACCTTGACAATGTTGTGTAACCATTACCTCTCGCTAGTTCCAAAATACTCTCATCACCCCAAAAGGAGACCCTATGCCCATTAAGCAGCTGCTCTCGCCCCCATTCTCCCCTTCCCCCAGCCTCTGGCAACCACCAGTCTGCATCCCGTCTCTGTGGGTTGACCTATGCCGGATGTGTCATATAAATAGAGTCATACAGAACGTCGTCTTTTGTGTCTGACTTCTTTGACCTAGCATACTGTTTTGAGGTTCACCCATGGTGTAATGTGTTTCAGTATTTCATTCCTTTTTATAGCTGAACAATATTCCATTGTATGTATATATAACTCATCACTTTTTGAAGATTACAAAAAATTTGGCCTTACTTCAATACAAAGCAGGTACTTGTAGCTGCCTTTCTCAACTTCCAAGTTGAGCTTTCCTTCAGGTGACAGTCAGCCCCACTGGCAGAGTCTCTGGCCTGGCTCGGTGCAGAGGCTTACAGAGGACACTCCATACAGGGACCAGCCCCTGGGCTGCCAGGGGTGTGTCTCTCCCTTGCTATGGAATTGGATCCCTCGTTGCCACCATCCTGGGTTGTCACCACACAGTTCCACCTGTGCTCTCTGCTAATCCAATTTCTAACCCCTGCTAACTACTCACCTTGCCAGCTGCCAAACTCGTCTTCTGGAAAATTATTTTCATTGGGCCACTTCCCTACCCCCAAAACAAGCTCCTTATTGCTTAGAGAAGAGACTTTTTCCCCAAAGGTTTTTTAGCCTTAAAACTCTTCCTTCATGCATAATATTGCAGAGAAACCCCAATCAGGACATCAGAGAGCGGGAGCTTGGGGCGCCACCCCAGCTTTCCTTGTCTCCCCAACACACTCAGTCCTGAGAAGCCCTGTGGGACCTCCAGGCCCTCTGGTCCAACAGAAAATCACCAACCTAACGTGTCAAGTCAAAATGTCTCTGCCTGGCTGTTCAGGCCCCTGACACCCCCAGCAATTTTCCTTTCCATCTTCACCAGACACCCCCTTGATGCCGGTGGCTTACCGTTCCCTGCATATTTTTTCCTCATTCTTGTTATTCTTTATTTTTCCTTCCAGAAATGTCCTCCTCCTTCCCTCCACTTACACAAACCCTTTGCATGCTGAACTTACCCTCCCCTTCCTTCGTGCAGCTTTCTTTGTTTCTGCCCCAGCCCACGTGGATTTCGCCCATCTTTTAGTACCTCTTGCATTTGCAGTCAGTGGTGACTCTTTGACCTTAACTGATTGATCCAAGCTTGGTCTCCCCAACTTATGGTGAGAGGGACCCAGTGCTTCTCCCGTGGGCCCAGCGTGTCTCAGCCCAGGGCAGCTCCTGTGCACCACGCCTGCTGCTTCCTTCCAGCCCTTCTTAAGGCTTAGACTCGCCCATGGTATGTGGCTGCCAAGAGCTAAGACATCAGAGCTAAGCAAACATGATGAAATACTGTATTCATAGAGGGCTGCGTCTCTAACAAGCCTTGCTGTTCCTTGTTGGCATTTATGTGAGGCAGGGATATGTCAAGTGGAGTCCCAGTTGTGTAAAGAGAAAGCAGCCATCTCTGAGAACATCCCTCAGAACATAAAGTGCTTTTACCAAATGACTATTTTCTAAATCTGATTGCTTTAGTGACACAAATTTTTTAGTCCTATCTAAAGGCCGTCATTAGAGAAACCAGCAGACCAAAAGCAGCTGTTCAGCTCGTACCATCCTTATGTGTGTGTGATCTCTCTCCCCTCCATCACCCCCCCTCCTCCACATCCTCTCTTCCTCCCACCCGTGCTCCACTCAGGCTACCACGACGGGCACCTTGTGATCCGCTGGTTCTGGGCCGCGGTGGAACGCTTCAATAACGAGCAGAGACTGAGATTGCTTCAGTTTGTCACGGGGACATCCAGCGTGCCCTACGAAGGCTTCGCGGCCCTCCGAGGGAGCAATGGGCTCCGGCGTTTCTGCATAGAGAAATGGGGGAAGATCACATCCCTCCCCAGGTACAGAGCTCCTGCCAACCTTTGGGAAACCTGCTGAAGGGGGCAAAGTATACTTTGCTCTTTGAGTTGGGGTGACCATCCTTTGGGTTGGGATTCTTTCCCATCATCCAATGTACTGATATTTGAATTACTAGTGAAAGGTATAGGTGAAGTGTCTCTGTGACTTGGACTGAGACTGTATGTCATATTCTTAGTGAGGTTTTAATGATCGATGGTACTTGGGCTGTAACATCTTGGTCCATGTGTCAGACGTGGGAAGCTTTGCAATCTGTACATAGCCCAACTTAATTTAAAGAGAAATGTCTAACACAGGGGAGGAGGGAGGCAAAGATATTGGTGTGAAGATGCTGGAAGCCCAAAGTAACCCCTCCAGGCCGAGTGCGCTGTACCTCTGCAGCGTACCACTTGATGCCTATGCTATACTTATACGTGTGCCATATTTCCACTACCAAGTTTTAAAACGTGAAGATGAGACCACGTATATCTGTGGGTCTCTACAGTGACTTCTAGATAGTGAGCTATTGAGAGATTATTGTGGGATAAATGTGGAAAAAGAGACACCAGGGCTCCAAGCAATTTTGCAGAATAAATTCCCCGGGCTGTGAGTTTAACCTCAATACTTCCTAGGTCCTTTCTGTGCCACGCTGGGTGGCAGGTTCCTGATCTGTGAAATAAGGAGCACTACAGAGACACTTCTGGGTAGGCACTATAGTAATAAATACGCTTCAACAAGCAGAAGAAAAGATTGATCCCTATTATCTTCTAATGCGATGTATTCTAATTATAAAGGAAGATTTGCATTTCATTCAGCCCTATTTCTAAGTGGTCATGCAAATACCTTTGCTAAATCTGCACTGTGGAAGGATTTACTGGACTACAGCTTTCATGTAGCCCCCCTGGGCTTCACAGTGTCCTGCAGACAGTCGCCCAGTGTCGGTGAGCATTGGTGGGCCTTCCCCGCTGGTTGACAGCAGCTGAAAGCCCTGGTGCAGGCACCAGCCCCAGCTTCACTCAGCTCAGCAGACCCTCAGCTCAAAGGATCTGTCTCCTTTGCCTGTTCCCTCCAAAAGCCGAACCTAGTGAATTACGTCTGGCAAGAAAATAAGACTAAAAAGGCAGAGTTTCCATTAGTCTAGTTTAATGATAGATTTCAAGAATAAAGTTATTTGGAAACAGTCTGCTTTTCTTTTGGAGAAATGCAGTGAGTCATCACTCGCTGGTAGCCAACCCAGACAGCGCGCACCTGCCCCTACCTGCCCGTAGGAGCCACAGTCTAGGGGGAGCAGCCTGATAGTGACTAATTATAGCACCAGCGGTTAAGAGCAACGTGCTGTGAGGATATGGAACAGAGAGTTAATCCCGACTGAGTTGCTCAGAGAAGACGCCCCAGAGAAACTGAAATTTAGGTGAGCGTTGGGAGGCAACGGATAGGAAGAGGGAGATTTCCAGGCTGAAGCAGCAGCAGGAGCGCAGCCCGGGAGTGGGAAGCGGCCAGCACGTGTCCAGGAAGGAGCGCCGAGCCGGCCGGAGGGTGTGTCCGGGGCGGTATCACAGGGGATCCGACTGAGAAAGATAGTTTGGTGGACCACAGAGACCCCGCTGGGGAGTCTCTGCTTGATTCTTTAGGCAATGAGAATCATTGCTTTCGTCATCTGGGGTCAGAGAGTGAGTGTAATTTACATATTTGCTTTGGAAGCTTTGAAATACACATTAATGCTGTTAACCCACACAGAGAGCTTATACGGCAGACATTGGACCTAGGAATAGGTTCTTCATATCTGGGCCAAGGCACCCTTAAAAAGCCCACTGCTCTGCAAGCCCCTGGGGGCAGCAGGGACCTCATCCCAGGACAGGAGGGCCCAAGAAGCAAACACCTGTGAGAGGACAGTGAACATGACCCCCTGGATTATAACCCCTGACTGGTCTCCCTTGCACAGTGTCTAAAGATGCAAGAACCCAACAAGTGCTGTCTACGTGTGAGAGAAAGAAATAACCTCTGACTCCTAAGAACTGTAGTTCAGGAAGACCTGGCCAGGCCCCGGCAGGTGGCAGGCAGCCCTGAGCTGGCAGGAGCACCAAGCAGGCTCGGGTGACCCTGGCTTCCCAGGGACTGTGAGCCACGGTGCACATGGCCAATGCCCTGAGGAGCTACTCGTTGCTCAGATCTTCCCTCCGCAGAAAGGAAAGACTTCCCACGTGAGAGTGCCAAATAGTGTCACAGCAAAACCTGGCCATAGCCCACGCTAAAAAAAACCTTATGTCAGTCCAAGTCCTTGCCTTCTAAAAGATGTGTGAGGATTATGAAAAAAGACTTTGAGGGTTCCTAAAATTTCTGGGATATAATTTGATAGTGCCTAGTGAAGAAACTTCATCTACCACCACTGCCGAAGTATATGGGAGGTGGGACAGTCCCTGGAGACTGCTCGGTCAAGGAACCGGCACCTCGCGTGTGAACCCAGTTGTCCATGTGGATGTAGCTGCTACACAGTCTGCAGAGAGGACTAGAAATGGAAAGGAAGATTTAAGCCAGTGCCAGTGATTTTAATAAATGCAATTAGCTAGAAGTTCACAGGGTCAGAAGGAGGTTTTTAAACCACAGCCCACAGAAAGAAATACCATTTGCATCACAATCCAGGACACACATATGTGCTCATTTGCGTGTGTATGTGTGTGTGTGTGTGTGTGTGTGTGTGTGTGTATGTGTATCTGAAACACAAGTCGTTCAGAACAACACTTTACCCTTATTACCTGCAATACAATCTATTTTCAGTCTATCCTATTTCATTAAAATGAAATGCCAGGCAAAACCTATAGGTTTCGAAAATTATCTAAGTGGCATGAAATTCAAAGGAACATAAATTTTTAATCAAGGACTGCAAAGTCATGATCTGGAATGGACGGGGGCAGTGAGAAGAATGCTCATCCACGTGGCAGCACATGGAACCGTGGGTGGTCTTCAGCCCTGAGGGCTGCAGACGGGAGCAAGGACAGGAGCTGCATCTGGAAAGAGCTTAAGGCAGTGGTAGAGTTTCCTCACTTTGAACAAGGGCTCAAGAAGGGACAGAGGAAGGGTGTGGAAGAAAAGAGAAGCATGGAGAATGAGTCAGAGTAGACGTGGCCCAGGGCAGTGTGGAGGTAAAGTATAGGAGAGGAGGAAACCATAGCAGTTCACAATAGGGGCAGGGGCCAAGGATATCAGAGCTATGGGTCATGGGCAACTCACTGGCCTAAAAGTTGCAAAGAAAATTCTGATATGAACATGTTTCACTGCAGATGTAAATGGAGCCCAGGCCCAGGGTGGAGCTGGAGGCCTTGTTAAGGTGGCAGTTGGTTTACTCACTAACCATGGTTTTCAAGGTTGGGGTGGGGAAGGGGACATTTAGCAATGTCTAGAGACATTTTGGTTGTGGGGAAGTGGTGCTGCTGGTGTCTAGTGGGTAGAGGCCAAGGATGCTGCTAAACATCTCACAATGTACAGGGCAGCCCCCGCAACCAAGCATTATCAAGTTCAAAGTGCCAACAGTGCGAAGGTGAGAAACCCTGTTCTGTAGAAGATAAGGACCTACAGAGGAGGCTCAAGGGAGCCTTCAGGGAGCTCGGGAGAGAATATGGCAGCCACTGAGAAACCAAAGGAAGCCAAGGGAGGGAGATGTCCCAGAGCAAGAGCTGTCAAATGCTTTCAAGAGCTCTAGCAGCTGGGGGTAGAGCATGGGCTTCCAGTTTGGGGATCAAGAGGTTATTGACAAACTTGAAAAAGAGTAGATTCGGCAGGGAAGAGAGCAAGGCCCATCTGAAGGGAATGAGGCTGTAGTTAGGCGGTGGAAGAAAACTGGCGCAAAGGGAAGACATGACTGATTTAACTGGCTTCACAACTGGCCTCCTCTTTTGTTTGTTTTGTACCGACCTTAAAGTGGTCTGTAGTGGAGAGGAGTGACTCTTTCTCTGGCATTGGATTGGCTAACATTTTATTCAAGAACTTGAAAAAAAGGGAGATCAACTGTTTAGATGACACAATTTAGAAGGGTACACAATTGGCACAATCCAAATCCAAAATTCTCTCCAAATGCTGGAACACTAGATTGACACCAGCAGAGTGGAACCTGGCATGGTTGAAAAGATCCCCTGCGGAGTTTCGAAACATCCGTTACACAAGTACGAGATGAGAGTGGCTCATTTGCCAGTAGGTCACATGGAAACGGCCAGACTTAAGTCGCCACAAGTATGACATGGTTCCTAAAATCATTACTGCAATCATGGTTGCATCAGTAAGAGAATCTTATTGTGTAAACGGTGAGTCACAGGTTACGTAAGGCACTTGGTGTGTTCTAGCGTTGATCCTCCCAACAGCCCTCTGAGGTGCACACCGCATGTATTATTATCCCCATTTTACAAGTGAGAAAACTGAGGCTCAGAAAGATTAATTGACTTTCCCAGGGTCATAAAGCTGGTAAGTGGCTAGACTGAGGTCAGAATAGAATCTTCCAGGCCCTGTTTTGAGCTTGCTGGGCCGCCCCACACCACCTGGCAGTGCCGGGTTTGGTGCCCAGGAAACGAGGTGAGCAGGTGCTCTGTGCTGTCAGAACCACACCTGGAGGGTGGCAAACACTTAGGAATGCCGATCACGTCATGATTCGGTTGTGTTCATTCACTCCAGTGACAAACTAGAATTTACCTAAGGGAGTCAACCACTGCTGTAGATAAATGCAATAAAAGCAACTAGGAAAGAAATTGTAGGTGTTCAGACTAGGTGCTATTTGATAATTCTTTCTGGTTATGCCCAGAAATTATCTTTTACAGAATTAATTTGGTTCCAACTAATTTGTAAACATGAAAATTTTTTTCTGTGATATTTCCACTTATGAGTGCCAGTTAAAATGACCAGAGGAAGAAAACCAAGATGATGTCTGCCCTTACCTTGCTCCTGGCTAATTCAGATCGTTTCAAAAGCTCACTTGGGATTTTTCTGCCCCACTTAACTTGATTAGCCACCGCCCAGTGTATGTTCTAGTTTCAATCTTTCTAAACATAGAGAGGAGTCATTTTAATCATCGTCCTACTCAATTTGCTGAGTTCCCTTTCACTCAAACCAATACTCATGTTTAGGTAGAATGTTTCAATTATTTGCTTTTAAAGTAAATATAGGCCTCTTTGAATCTTAGATAATAATGTAAGAACTCTGCTAATCTCTGTCTATTTTTATATTTCTTCCCAGTTAGATCTTTAAGGTCTAAGACCAGACACCCTACTGTCCTGTGCCCACCCTTGGAGCTTGAGAGGGGAGGGGACGGGAGAAGGAGGTGGGGTTAAGGATGGTTCCCCGAGGGCAATGCAAGGGCTGTTGCTAGACAAAAACACCAGCAGCCTCCCAAGATTCTCCCTGTACAGGAAACTTCACCTTCCCTCTCCCCTCTTCCATCTTCCTCACCCCCAAAGTAATTTCCCCCCATCACCTCAGTGCCGCATCAGCCTATGCAGTGATCTGGTACTCTGATTTATAGAATTCAAAACAAGGGTATATAGCCGGGCACAGTGGCGCATGTCTGTAGTCCCAGCTACTTGGGAGGCTGAGGCAGTAGGATTGCTTGAGCCCAGGAGTTTGAGGTTGCTGTGAGCTAGGCTGACGCCACGGCACTCTAGCCCGGGCAACAGAGTAAGACTCTGTCTCAAAAAAAAAAAAAAAAAGAACAAAACAAGGGTATAAATAATACACAAGTCCTGTAGGGGTATTTTAAGTAAAATAAGAGTTTAATATCCTACATAAAATGCTAATGAAGGGAGTTTAGTTTTGTTTCTTTGTGTGTTTGTTTTGTGATTTGATTTGATTTGATTTGATTTGAGAGCATCCTTTTCTATGCTGGTTGGTGTCTCAAAACACCATTTCAACACACCACTCCTTCCAGGAAGGAAAAGGCATGAAATGAACTTTCAGCTGCACCCATCCACCTTCCTCCCTACTTTGGTACAGGACTTGCCATCAACAAAAGTTTCCATAAAAATAAAGAACTGTCAGAAAGCCGCTAGTCAGGTGATCTGAGGCTCCCTAGGATGGAATCTGTGTGTGCCAGCCTTCTTGTGCTCCCTGCTGGGGCCCACCTGGGTGTGAGCAGCATGGCAGGGAAGACATTCCTGGTGGAAGGCAGATGCTGGCAAGCGTGGGTCTGCAAGAGGAAGCACATGACGAGTAGGGCAGAACCCAGAGCAGTGGCTTGAGGACGACACTCCAGGCTCTAGGGAGGCCTGTCTCAAGGGCAGCTTTCCTTGGAAATGCAGCCCTTCAGCTTTAGCTATGCTTGTTCGACTGGGGTAGGGGGGTCAGACTTGTCTCCAGGGAGCATCTGACTTGAATGGAGAACCGGGTCTCAGAAGTCCAGGACATCTGGGCTCCTCTAAACAGATACACATGGTTCACAGAGGCTCAGAAATCAGAGCCAGACTAGAAGACTTAGGAATATAATCCTTTAACTCTAATTATATTCTGCCTCCTTTGCTAACCACATCAAAGTTCATATCTCAAGTACAAAATCAGGCTGATACCATAGCATTTATCATCAGTTTGCTAGGGTAGTTCTAGGGTAGTGCAGTTTTGCTTACAAAGGCCAACCACCCATTTCTAGTCATTCCATTCTTCCAACTGGTCTACTCATTCTGGAAGGCTATGGCTCTTAGTTTGCAATGTTTGATGGGGGTCCTAAGTCATGTGCTGCTCACTTTTGATTCCTGTTTGATTCCCAGCTTCAGACTAACTCACAGATATGTCCAGAACCAGTTGTATCACTGAAGCTAACACTCTTGCCAATCTCTTCTCCCCCATTCAGGGCACACACATGCTTCAACCGACTAGATCTTCCACCATATCCCTCATACTCCATGTTGTATGAAAAGCTGTTAACAGCAGTAGAAGAAACCAGCACCTTTGGACTTGAGTGAGGACATGGAACCTCGCCTGGCATTTTCCTGGCCAGTGACATCACCCTTCCTCGGATGGTCCAACCTTCCCTTTCCCTTAATCAACTCTCCTTTGATTTTGGTATTCCATGATTTTTATTTTCAAACCAAATCAGGATTGACAAAAGCTGTGCATGAAGAACTGCCTTCTTCTAAGATCTAACCTTCAGGCTTCTCTCTTCTGTTTTCAATGAACTGCTAGCCTGTATGCAATATTAAAAAAAAAGCAGCTGTCTAAAGGTCTGTGTATATCTCCACATACCTCCATTATTAACAATGAAATATGAATGCAAGTTACGCTACACTTGACCAAATGGTAATAAATGTTTACTTCCATTTCTATTATTTAAGGGGGAAATCTGAGCATTAAGCATTCCAAGCTTTTATACGCCCATGTCTTCTGAGCAGAGCCACCATTTTTTATAATTTCCAACAACCAAATCCAGAGCTGATCAAGTCTTTGTTTTCCTCCCTCTCCACTTTTCCCTGTGCATACTCTCCACCCAAAGGACAGCAGTGGCAAACTGAAATTTTTATACATTCAACTCCTGAATCACATGTGGCATCAGTCCCCTCAGCTGGAACTAGCCTAGACATATGGTGCAAATACGACACTTCCAACAATTAACAACTGCAAGAAAAACACCTGCCGCTGATGCACCGCAGTACATCCCAGTGATGTGGGCAGTGTGGGCTCAAGCTGAGTTCAGAGGAGTCTAGGAGGGGAGCACCCCTAGTGATACACACCGCACGAGAAGCACAGCCTTGTGTGCATGTCCAAGAAGGAAAACTTCTTGACTAATGTAGTGTGAAGGACGAGGCTTCAACCCCCACTGCGTGTATAGAATGCGGTGACGAAAACAGGAGAAAGGGAAGAAGGACATATTACGTTGGTTTGAATACCTGAGTTCTGTACTGTTTTGTTTTGTTTAGTCTAGCGACAGTTCTCCTTCACAAAGGAAAAAAAAATGTATAGATGATCTCATGACTTTTGTTAAAGCCAGGTATTACTTGCTTTGCAGACAAACCTGTTTTTTTGTTTTAATGTTGATATTGGTTTTCTTCGTGCTTTTTTCTTTTCTGGATCATGGTGTTCAAGTTCCTTCACATCTGATTGTCCACAGGGTCCACATTAAATAAGAAGCTGCAGAGAGTGATGGTGCTTGTTAGGGGCCAAGGGCAATATGGTACTTCTCCTTCATCCGTAGCAATCCTCGGGGGCAGGAACATGACACCCCAAAGGCACGCTGATTTGTGTCAAAATAAATATCCAGTTTCCTTTAGCATTCAGTAAAAACATATCTCAGAAAACAGTGTTGTCAGAAAAACAGTTGCAGGCTCCAAAGACAGCCTAACCTCTTGATTGCATTTGAAATAAACCCAATCATAATGGCCATTTGCTATTTTTCTAACCTTGTTATCCATGTTGTCTGAAATATGTCATAAATGAAAGTGTTTTTCTTCACTGGGAAAGGAAGAGCTACAAAGACCCCACTATTTAAATGTCACGTTGTTGTTTTCAATATATTAAAACAAGGGGGAAATGTGAGAAAAGTAAGACAAAGTGAATTTCATATGAAGCCATGCCTTGTGGCTCATTATACCAGTTTGTGTCTGGACAGTGCATTATTTGTGTGCCCTGCACTCTAAAATAAAACATTCTTCTAGCAGGAATTATTGACAACACCAGCTCCTCTTGCTGCTGTGTATCTGTTGTCAATCAGGGACTGTACGTTCTAGAAATTTAGCCTTATACTGTTGTCCAAAAGGAATATGTACCAAGATGGGATGAAATGTGTAAGTTATATAGAATTTGAGGAATATGTAAAATTCAGTACACATTTCAGTATCTGAAAATAGATTCCAAGGTGGCTATTATTTATTTATGAAATCAGAACATAAGGATTATGCAAATCATTGCACCATACCCTTATTCTCTTTGGACAGCATCTCTAATAGAGGGGCATCTTTCATCTTTAGAATTTGGTGTTATACATATGTAAATACTCATTAATTCAAGCATTCAGCTCTCTTTTTAGTACTTATTCAGCATACATTGGAAAGGGAGAAAGCTATTCACGAGATGGAGCTTGCACCTGAGAGCTTTACAATTTACATAAATATCTAATTAATCTATTAATCAGATTAATTAGTGTCTACTCCACCCATATACAGAAGGAGTGTGGTATCTCAGAAATTATATATAGATAGGTAACTTCGGCATAAATGGTTTTTCGACTAGCTTTTCCTTATTCCCCTGCCACGACCGATGCCATGGCTCTAGATGTATCCCACAAAAATAAAAGGAACAGTGCTTCGTAAAAGTGCAAAATTCCATAAAGAAATGCTGATATCAGAGTCATCTGAAAGAATGTAAAGCTTGCTTAACACGGTGCCAGTGTGTGATTGTAGCCTTGCAGAGAGTCCTCACGGAGGAAAACAGAAGAGGAGCTCAGAAACAAGTTATGGAAAGATCCTTTCTACCCCATATATGAGGGTGATTTCAAATAATGTATAATTTTTCATTTTATACACATATAAAATGACATAGCTATAGAACTAAATTATGCCGTTAATTTCACCAGGTAGAGGTGTAAAACACCCAAATCATATAATTCGATTGGTAAGGCAGATCTATTGTTACTACCCATAATTTTTTTTTTAATTTAAAGCATGAGTTTTTTCCATGGAGGCAAATTGCAAAATTAATCACTTATAAGCCACAACCTCCCTAAAACAAGATCTAGTTTTAGTAAGAGTATAAACACCCTTAATCAGGGGACAGACAAGAACAATAAATAAGAAAACATTTATATTACAACATCAAAAAATGCTTTTAAAATTCCATAAGGTATCATAATAATTTCATGGATATTGCAAATGTTTTATTCTATAATATGAAGATGATAATGGTGAAAAAAGAAATTGACTCTGCAGGCTCAGGAGAGGTATTCTAAATCTGCAGACTTCTTTGTCACTTCCTGTATATATTAACTGGTGGAGGTCGTGGAAATGCTGGGAGGGTGGTGAGGAAACGAAGAAAAGAGATATGTGCTTTTGGGGAGCAGGCTTTAAATATGCAGCATCTAAATCTTTTTTTCTTTCAATATTAATAGATCACCAAATGTCCTTTAACAGTAAGTATGTTTGTGTGACAAGCCAATGAGCCGAGTTTTCCAGAACAGTTCTAATGTTACATCAATCGCCTGTCAGTCCATGTGTCAAACCATGTGTCCAAAATCTGGGTTCAGAAAATTTCTCAATTGCCACAAATGTTTTCCCAGTCAAGATGAAACACTTTCAAACGAAAGTAGTTAGAACTTTACATAACAAATGTGGTGCTTTTATTATTATTATTATTGTTGTTATTATGTACTTCAGTGTTCATTATTAAAATTACTGCAATATTAGATCATAAAAATCTGGGATGGATGTTCCAGCCATCATAAGGTTCAAAAGAGAAAGTGTTATTTTCCTGTTAGTGACATGTAGTCCCTTTGTTATAGTAGAAAAAAGGTGCCTAGAGGTAGTATATAGAGTAAATATCGTTCCATTAGCCTACTTCCTGCAGCTTCCAATTTATCTAAGGAAATGTCTATAACAATTTTGTTTTGAAGTCTTTGTCCTAGTCAGTAGCAGAAGCAGTCCACGTTACTGGGCTGATTTTGCTTACACCAACAAGAGAAATGTCACGTGATACTCAGGCCTCGCTTTCTCTTCCATCACACCACCTTCAAGGAATGTCAATAAACTCTCTTTGGTATGGCACTGTGTATGCTCCTCATTGCAAATGTAAGTCTTCGGTAACACGTAACAATCTGTGTTCTGCCTCATGCTCTCCTTGGATGTAAGCAATAAAACAACACAGAAGGCGACCAGCTGCTATGATAAACAATCCCCAGGAAAAAAAATATTTATCAGAAAAGCATCATATGTGCTCACCAATCCATGAATAAAGGAACAGCTTTTGTAACACGTGTTTTGTGTATGCCTATTAGAACTATACACAAACCACATGGGCCTCTTTGTGTCAGGGCCTGCTACGTAGAACCAAGTGCACACCGGCTTGTGCGAATCCCTACCGATGGAGGTGCTTCTACAAAGGCTTCAGGCCACAGCCTAACACCCAGTGTGACCCTGGGACAAAGGTTACCACTGGGCAAACGTGGCGTGTCCTATGGCACATATCACAAACTCCCAAGATCAAAATGTCATTATCTCTTTCCAAGCCTCTAAAAGACAAAACATGTGGCTATCACTGGGTGGGAAGCAGATTTATTGAGGAGAAAATATTTTATGATAAGAAAAAAGTGTGGGCAGAATTGAAGAGGGGAGACACCTGAGGGACTGATTTGGAGACATCTCGATATTGCATTTTCATACAATGCTGGGTTTATTTTAGATTTATTCTAACTGAAAATAATTTTTCTCTTCACCTTAAGAGAAAAATTAGCCTAGATCATAATTTATAGTGAGGCATAGATTATATTATTTTGTTTTCATCTTATCACTACTCTGAAATCAAGATTAGACTTCAGCTCTCCTGCTTTCTCTGGCCGGACTTTTCCAATATACTGTGCAGATGACTCATTAATTATAAGGTGTGAGGAGAAAAGTGACACACACAGCTTATATTCAAGACGTGGCTTAAATATGTCTAAAGAGGATGGTTCTCTCACAGAATAAGTGAAGGGAGCTATGGAAGATCAGGTAACCTGTATCAGCGCTGCAGAAAGCATCACATTTATAGCTAGGAATAGACAGATACTTTTGTCCAGCTGGTCTATCTTGGAGATGGAGAATCTGACACAAGGAGAGTTGACTTGCTCAAGACCGCTGAGTTTTATCTTGGGGGCTAATGGTATGCCCTGTCACAAAATATCCCCTTGCGCCCTGGCTCCTGGACGTGGCATAACCATTAGAAAATTTGCCAGGAGGGTGAGGTTTGCAGAAGAGATGGAAGCTGAGAATGTGCACTAGACACCGGAAGTCCACAGCCAGTGTGTAGTCACCAAAGAAGGACACGGGCTACTCGTTCCCATAGCCCCTCTGAGCAAGTCTGCTAGGGCTGCCGTCACAGAGAACCTTAAGCAAGGCTAGCAATTAGAGCTCAGGTGTCCAGGGTCGGTTCCTTCTGAGGGCTGTGAGAAAGCATCTGTTCCATCCCTCTCTCCTAGCATCCAGTGGTTTGCTTGCAGTCTTTGGCATTCCTTGGTTTGTAGATCTCTGCTTTCATCTTCGTGTGATTTTTTCTGTGTGTGCGTGCACACGTGTGTGTGTGTGTGTGTGTGTGTGTGTGTGTGTGTCCGTGTCCAAATTTCTCATTTTCATAAGGGCATTAGTCATATTGGATTAGGGCCAACCCTAATGACCTCATTTTAACTCGATTAGCTCTGTAAAGGCCTAACTCCAAATAAGAAAATAAGGTCACATTGGAGGTTCTGGGTGGAGTTAGGACTCCCGTACATCTTCTTTGGGGGGACACAGGTCAATCCATAACATCCTCCTTCCTGCTACATTAAGAGCTCCCAACAGTAATAGTAATAATAATAAACACTCCGTGCCTTCCATGTGTGATCCTATGAAATAGCTACTTGTATATCCCCACTTTAAGCTGGAAAAAGAAAAAACAACAGCGAAACATAGAGAAGTGAATTAACTTGCCCAAAGTCACATACTTAGTAAATGGTAGAGCCAACATTTGAGTTCATTAGGAGCACCCCATTCAATTAACCGTTTATTGAATATGTGTCCCCTGTTGGGTCCTGGGCTGGTCACAGGGGCCACTGGCAGTCCGTACCCTCAGGAGGTTCACGGTCTAGTGGTGTAATGACGCTTTCTTCTCCTCCAGTTGAGATTTGGTCTCCGTTTTCAGTGTGAGTTGTCTCCTCACCCCACCCTTCACCCGGCTCCTCGGTACGATATGGTGCCATTAAAAAATAATAAGGAAGCAAAGTGCTACAGGAAAAGGGGACAGGAGCAATTGGCTAGAGAGCAAGGATGGACAGGAATTAATTCATCTGGAGACAAGATTTGAGCATGTATAAAATTGGGAAAAATAATTTAGATTTATCAGCAAGAGAGAAACATGTTGTTTTTCCTGAAACAGTAAACAGAGAAGGCACTAGAAGTAACTAAATCAGCCTAAGAACTTCATATCTGTAAAAGCTGGGAGAACACAGCTACAGAGAGATTTTTTTTTTAATGTCTGGAACCTCTAATTGAGTTAGTGTTAAAACTTGTTCAAATTAGAATTAACTTGTTTAAATAAATGGGCAAATTATATGTGCCCAAGAACTCGTATGCCTTTCCATTTGATTCCAGAGACTATATATTATAGAGTTTTCTTTTTTACCTTACACAGTTATGTAATCCCTATTACTTTTTTAATGC